TGTACAGGATACCCTGTACCTTTGCAGTACTTTTTATCTCCCCAGCAGGAAGTGCAGGGCTCTGCAAAGTCAGTCAATCAACCAGCATTTATTAAGAGCTTACTCTGTACCAGGGGACTGTTTTAGGTGCTAGCCATGCAAAGATAAAAGGTGAAGCAATCCCTGTCCTCAAGGAACTTACTCACAATTTTATCAGGGGTAAACAACACCTATAATACTTGTTCAGTCATTTCAGCCATGTCCCACTTCTAACTCTTTTGGGGTTTTCTTGGCAAACATAACAAGGGATTTGTTTTTCTTTCTTCCTAGGGTGGGGGTGGGAGGGGGAGAGAATGAGATAGGAGAGGAGAGAAGGTATATTTTCATTAATTGAAAAAATAAAATTGAATTAAAAAAAAACCTCATCAATGTCCTTCCTAAATATAGGTGCCTAGAACTGAACACAGTGATCCATATGTGATCTGACCAGGGCAGAAAACAGCCAGATGCTGTTTCTAAGATGCTCTCTCTTGCTCCCTTAATGTAGCCTAAGATTTCATTAGCTTTTGTGGTCCCTTATTACACTTTTGATTCATATTGAACTTGAAATCCATCTAAACCCTCAAATTCTTTCAGACAAACCACTCTCTACTCAAATCCACCCCAACTACCACCACCACCAATCTGGTATTCATGAAGCTGATTTCTAGTTAAAATTAATCCCAACATAGTTACATGATATAACGTAAGTGCATTAGAGAGTCACAAAATAAAATGCTATGTGAGAGCAGAGGATAAAATTATTACTGACTAGAGTGATAAAGAATAGGCTTTCTGGAGGAATTATTTTTGAGTTGAACTTTTTAAAGGGGTAGAAATTAAATGGGCTAAGAAAGGAAAGGGAAGGTTCCATACACAGGGAATAGAGTGTGTTAAGGCATATTCAGGAAGCAGAGTACGGTCCAGTTTAGTTGGAGCAAAAAGAAAAGTAATATAAAGCTAGAAAAGTAGGTGTCAGACTATCTGGTACAAGTTGACAGGAGGGAATCATTGAGGATTTTTTTTATCGGAGTGACAAGCACTTTTCAAACCCTAAAGCGTTATATAAATGTGAGTGCTTACTATTGTAACCAAATATGTAAATAAAAAGATTATCCTGGCAGCAGCATACAGTTGTATTACAGCCAGAAAAAATCCTTTTTTGAATTTGTTCATGTGAAGTCTAAAAAATGCCCCCTAAAAAAGGGTGCTAAAGCCTAGATAAGAAGTAGGAGTTCTTCATTTAAAATATCTGGTTTATCCAGGAAACATTCCCAATGTAATCCTTTTACATGTAAAATTCATCAACTCCACATTTTAAATTGTCATTAAATGTGTCTTTTCAGAAGGATTATGTGCCTTGAGAGCAAGTTTAATCTTAGGTCAGTTCATCAATGACCTTACAGAACTGAGAAGTAGGACATCAGATATTTTTATAACATTTCACTGCCATGTACTTACTCGACATTTATATTTTTTCATATTAAAAAAACTATTGGGTTTTTTTTTAAGTCATGAGGTTCATGATTATACAATGATCAGTAAATAACAGATTAATTCCAACCCTGGCTAAAGAGACCAAATTCTAATGGAAAGGATAGGCCTTCTCTAAATTAGAACCTTGAAATGTCAGAACTGGAAGGCACCAGGAAGGTCATCTTACGTTTTGCTTACATATGAGGAAGTGAAGTGAAGTGATTTTTCTGAGGTCACAATGGTTGGCCTAGAACTAGAGACCAAGTCTTTCAGTTTTGGTACTTCAGTTGGTGGTTTTGTCATGTTTTGCAATTTGAATATGTACCATCTTCCAAAGTGTCTAAGAGTACTATGGTTGGGGGAACCTCCCAGGTCTGGAGGGCCTGGTTGAATATCCTGCTTCTGAGAGCCAGAGATCTTACTGGTACAGCACTTCACTTTCCCCTTCCCCATGCATGTATACATCCCATCACCACAAAGAATTATGATAGAGTTCCCTAAAGATGATTACTAGCTCCAAGTCAGATTGGCCCACTCCATTGCCTTGCAGAGCTACTGATTGCCCTGAACTCTACTATTCTTCTACTGAGTTCTAAACACAGCCTCACTCCCATCTTCCCTATAACTTTCCTTCCAAGTTGACCAGAAAATGATCATCTACTCTATTGTTGGCATTGTCCATCCTAGGGTATTGTAGGAGCAGTGTGAGTAGATGAGACAAGGTATGGTTTAAAACATATGTGCTCTGCCCCCTTCAATCCCATTCCTGGCATGCTGAAAATGTACCTAGTCTGATCTACACCAGGAGGGTAGTCCAGCTTTGAATGTC